ATCTATCTATCTATCTATCTATCTATCTATCTATCTATCTATCTATCACTGGAAGAATCATTTTGGTCTTTGTTGTCATTTTTACAAAAATCTAAAATGATCAGACAGGATACAGAACCCACAACAGCATTTGCATTATTTTTACTCACGGACGCAGACAGGCGTCGTTCCAGACCATCGATGATCTTGCTGGCAGATTCTGACTGATGTGCCAATTAGTCGATATCCTAACATACACTGGTATACCACTGTGTCACGGTAACTTGAGCCATCTCCACTAATGTGGCCATTGACAATTGGGTCTGGAGCATCACAATGTCCAGCTAGAAGAAGCAAAATCACACAAATTCATATGTTATATTTAAGAGGGAAAAAAAAGGAAAACTCCTTTTTTTATTGAGTTTCTTCGACTGACAAGCTCTAACTTATTAAAACATTTCAAACCATCCAATACATAAACATCCAAATAACTGGCTCATTAAGTCATCAGAGTACCTGAAAATCAATCTTCAAAGACTTTAGACCTGAATATCCAGCAATTACGGATGCACAAAGGCTCGATTTGAACTCAGTGCACTTAAATGATTTCCCTGTGCTTTTTAAGTGGCCTTGATTTTTCTAACATCCATTTATAATTTCCTTAAACTCGAGCTAAGGTTTTGAAGAATCAGTCAGTTGTTTTCAACAACTCACCGATTAAGAAGCAATCAGCCCATGCTTGAAAGGGTGGGCCTCCCTTCAATTTTCCCTTCATAATGAAATCACCAAAAGAAGCCAAGTTTTTGCTTTCTATTTGGCATTCAAAATAGTAGTCATCTTACACTTTCTAACACACATCAAAATTCTAAGGCTATAATAACAGACCCTAAAAAATCTAATATCTGAAAATGTACAAAAAATATACCATAAGAAGCAACCAATATACTTACCTGAATGACAGATAAATCTAAATAAAAACAAGATAACCCCTCCGACAGGACAATGTATCTATAAAGGGATATGCAATCCATAATGTCCAGCCACAAAGTTTGCAATGTATACCACCGAAACACAACGAATGTAGCAACACTGACCCACAGTTTCACAGAACTACACGTTTTGCAACAGCAATGTACTAAAATCCACTGAAAGAGTATAATCTGGCAACAAAAATAATGAATTGTACTGCAGAGTTGAAAAAAACATTTCCTCTGCCTGTTGGCAGTTGACTCAAATCAGAATTTATTAAAAGTAAATACAAATATGATTCAAAAGATCATGAATGCATGATGAGCATAGTCCGAGTCTTTGATATTATACTGACAGCTTACTACATTTAATTTCCTATTCATGTAGCATCTCTTTTTTTTTTTATAATTCACACCGCTCAGTCCATAGAATACGTTTTCATTATTAATTAGACTGTTCACTTTCCTGCCAAAGTAAATTAGAACAGATCACAAAGCACAATACATCTGAGAACATTAAACAAAGCTTACCAAGACACCTTGTCTCTGCACCACTCCACAGTCCATTGGCACCACATTCCCTTACATGTGACCCCACAAGTGTGTAGCCATGGTTACACATAAAGATTGCAGTTGCCCCGAATGTAGTTAGTGTCCCCAGTTTGGTACCAAAAGGTGGGGAGGCAAGTTCCCCACAGGAGATGACTATACAGTAAAAAAAGAAAAGGGAAAGAATATGTGAAATAGACATTATGTAACATCATAAGGCATTTGTGTCATTCACATTTTCTGAAAAAAAAAGAAAAGATCAAGTGTTGCCTTGTTGCCTATAAAACACCACAACGCCGTGAAATTTAATCTAAAGATCTTTTCCAAGATATTACAGGACATTTTAGAAAATATAAGGCAATTTCCTTTAGATTTACTATTAAACACACTGTCTTTTTACTGGCCAACTTAAAGAATATTATGGTCACCTCCATCAGGTGATGAATCCTTTGGGTCTGCTGCAGTATTTGACTTGTCAGCTGAAGTATTGGATAAATATACAAGTTGCAAAAAAATCCTAAGCAAAGACCTGACAGATTCAAATTCATAAATATATATAAAACTTTCTCACATGTACACATTTCACTTTTTCACTGGCATGTCATGCATTATGCAACAGTGAGAAATTTTATATTAGACGGTTTTCAAAGCCATAGTGTTCTCTCTTAAAATCTCTTTATGATATAAGCAGCAAAGGCAAATTGCAGAGAAACGCGATTTGAAAAGACAGTATTTCACCACTGCCGACATATACCCCACATTTCGAAAGCAAAGGGTTTTTCTGCTTTAAACAGCTATAACAGTCCCATGATAATGTGGAGTGGCTAATATCCTAAGGCGCTGGAAAACACGTATACCACTGTTAACTCATCCTAAAGAAGAAGAAGCGAGGGAAACGGATAAACACATGCACAAACAACCTCTGTGTAAGGCTATACCTTTTCTTATTATAAAAAATATTAGAACTGCCATGCTTTCTTTCAAACCAAGTGAAAAGCACTGTAAACAAAGAATGTTTTAGAACAACTAAAGCCAATTCTATATTAAAAAAAACTTTTACAATTTCCATCACTTTGATTTATCTTGGATGGATTCATTAGTCTGATAACTAATTCAGGAAAGGCTATGGAAGCAAATGCAACACAGCTAGTTATTTAGTTTTTCTTTGGTTGTTGCCTTTTCAAGCTGTTGTGAAACTATTTCTGTGTGCAGAAACGATCATTCTAATCTCTTGTTTTGGAAGATTAAAGTTGTAGACTTAGGTTATTCAGAGTACTTTACATTTGTGAACAGTAAAGTACACACTAATATCAAGGATTGAATGCATGGGGGTTTGCACAGGACTTTTGAAAACATCGACTACTGGAGTTTGAGAGAAATATCTCATAACTAATTTCCAAATATAGCGCCCTATGTGAGTTTGTTCTCAGATGTTGATAGTACTGTTTGTCATTTTTTTGGATGTGAGGTGATAAGATGACTGAGCCTTATACATCTTAACTTAACAGCTGTAAAATTATTTTACAAAAAAGAGTCATATTACTGTTGATAGGGGAATCCAAACTTACTTTTGCATGTAGCTGGGTCATCTGACCCATCCCACGTCCCATTGGCAAGACAGCGAAGAGTCCGATGCCCAACACCTAAATAGTACCCAACTGAGCATTCCAGCATCACCACAGAACCAAATTCTCCCAGCCTACCGGAGAGGAGGCGGTAGGTCATGTAATCTGACAAAGCGCCATCAATGCTGGGGCAGTGCATAGCTGAATATGAAAAGTGAATAATATAACATATTAATGAACGGCAATAGTGAAATATTGCACTGAAAAACCAGTCCAGTTACACTCCATCCAGATGTTTATTTAGCCACATGCGAGTATCAGACCAGTCCATGCAAAGTCAATGCTAAAGTTAACTCACTAAAAAGAGAAAAAATAGATAATGATTAAAATTTGATAAACTTTAGGATAAAATTAAAACGAGGAGTTTCCCATTACAAAGATATTCTCACAATTTCTAAAAACACTTACGCAGACATCTGGAGATTGAACCAGCATTACTCCAGCTGCCATCCTCCAAACACATGGCTGTCATTGGAACAGCAGGATCAAGGTAGTAGCCATCGTTACACTGATAGGTGACCAGGCTTCCGACAGTATATTGGTAAGCATGGAAACTACCATTGCCCGGCGACAGAGGAATTCCACAGGAGATAGCTGCCACATCCCAAAGAAAGTGTTAGAGAAGTAAAACTTTTTATTCAAGACCACTTACATGATGAAAAAATGTGTTCAGAATTCTACCTTGACAAAAAGGTGGTGGAGTATCCCACAGGTAAAGCCCATTGGAGTCAACTATGCAGGTGGCATTGCTTGAGCCTACCAAGCGGTAACCACGGTTACAGTAATACTGAAGTCTGCTACCTGGATGGAGTTTAGTTCGGTTGACCACGTCCCCATTCAGTGGCGAATCATTGATGCTGCAGTAAGCAGCTGGACAAAGAGAAGATAAAAACAAGGAAAAAATATCAATTATTCTAAAATGTATCCTATAATGCAATGGTTCTGTTGTCTTACAGTGAATGTGCCACAGCTACTTAACTAAACGGCTACTAAAACTGAAACACAATGTTATTGCCATAAATATTGTTTAAGATTTATGGCAATAAAATATTAATAAAATAATAGTTTAGTCTTTCTCTTTTCTGAACCTTATCATTCTAGTTTTTTATGCTTTAATGTCAGTGTGTTTTTCTGAACTTCTGTCATTCCCCTGCAACCACTTGAGCTTAAAAAGGGGACATGAGCTTCCTATGGACAGAATGTTATTTCAAGGCTTCCATACCAGAGAATCAGTTCATTTTAACACAAAAATGCAGTAAGTGGATTTAACAAACATTTCAATCAAACAACAGGTGTCTATGAAAATATTTAGTTTAGAATGACCTTCATCTTTTGTCTGCTTTCTGGTCCAATCATTCAGCAGATCATCATTTTCACCTGTGTTTTGCAGGAATAACTCTCTCTAGTTGGATTTGCATTGTCCTTATTAAAAGACTAAAATAATTTACCAGCTTTCCTTAATCCCACAACATAGTCTAACAAGGCTAAAGAAAGAAAAGCATGGTTACTGCTGCGTTTCACAAACTAGAATCAAATTTAAGTAGATTCAAAACATATTTACATGCACCTACACTAAGTCCATGCACCTAAACTAAGTCCATTTAAGGACTAAGTCCTTAAATGTAAAAAAAAAAAAAAAAAAAAAAAAAAAAAAACATTAACATGCACAACAAAAGTCCATTGTCTAAAATGAGGAGCTCATGTTCTACCTCCAGGTTATGGCAAACTGGTAATGTTGCATACTTTAGTGTGGTGATGCTACATTTAAGTGCTGTTTGAAATTTATCAAAAGCCATTTGCTCCTTTTCCCCTAGTGAATTTTGTAGAACAAAGTGGCTACTTACTTTACACTGCTCCAGAAGTCTTTCAAATATTTACTCTTTATGTCAGCAAAAGCTTTCCCTGCCATTCCCTTAAACCCTGCTCTTAATCAAACCCAGCTCAGTAGCATCACACTGACTTATGGGGATAATCTGTTGCGGACAATCTGTCTGTATATCCAACTTTGTCTGAATGCGGTGAGCTGCTTATTATCCAGCCATTATCGTAATGTATCAACTATATTTCCATTAGCAACATAAATTATATATTTTATGACACAAATTAAACTTTAGTGTTGTCTTCCATGACAGTAACTAATGATATTTTTATGCAACATTAATGTTGCTTCTTTTGACATTAGTTGACTTATTCTAGTGTGTATCACACTTTAAGGAAGAGCAATGGATAAAAAATGCCATGGTTTTAGTTAATCTCACAGCTATTCCATGCACGAAGGATATGAAAGATTGATGAAAAATTACAGCAATAGCTTATCAAAATCATTGTTTCATCATAAAGCATGAGAGTTCATCAATAATGTACAGTAAGTGAAGAACCCAAGCCATTAGTTTCTGTTCCATCCACAGTTTACTGTAGTGTTGTCAGGCCATTACTACACTATGGGGAAAATACAATATCATCACATGTCCAAAGAGACAAAATGACCCACAGATTAAAACATATGAAGTTTTTCTTGACTTTTTCAAATGTTTCAAATTGACAGCCAGGGCACTAACCTTGTTACTGTCCTCTTGCTGGGTGATTAGGAGCAGTATAACCTAACTAACTTTTCTCTGAATGACACTAGAAGCCATCCTCAACAAATTCTCACACACTGTGTACCTGGTGTACTCAAAGGGATCATTTCTAAATGATCATCACTCACCAACCCATCAAAGCATTATTGTCTTGAAAAGAAAGGCATTGGGTGTCATTAGTCATGCCAGTAGGAGATGTTGGTAGCCTTTGAATACATTTTTTTTGTGTGTGCAGAAACAAAGTAGAGGAGTGAGTATTTTCGATTATATCTGAGAAATGGTATATTTGATATTGCTGACATATTACTTTAATCAAGTCATAAAATATATAACTCAATGGACAAAACAGAGGCCTTTATATGATTCTATCGATGTTGTGAGATGGTAAAAATAGGATCAACAGTATGATAGATATGAGGCTGATATTGGATTTACCCGAGTACCGTATCTTGAACCCTCTTTTGTTAGTTGCATGGTCAGTGGACCATCGTAGATACAGCTGGTTTGTTTTAGATGTGAAGTTTAGCTGAGATGAGTGGTTTCCACTTAGAGCAACAAGCAAAGGGCTTTGTCCTGAAGATCCTGGTGAAACAAAGAAAAGTGTTCAGGGCTTTGTATTCATATTTGTATTCAACCACAATATGTCATTTTGTAGATGTCTATTCTTTACATGTCTGATGTGAAACATGACCAGGAAAGGGATACAACAGACTTTTTTTTCTTGCAATCTTTTGCTCAATTTAGGCCCAGCATTAGATGGAAATGAATAATATGCAGCTGTCAGTGGGTTTTATTGTTTCTGGGATATGAGGCACATGCAGGTGACAGTGCCATTAAGTCACTAAGTATCCCTGCATTACTTCTTGTACATCTATTCGACTAGAGAATATTGTTTAGCTCCATCTCTGATTTATTTATCTCTGGCATTTCAGTAAATCAATGGATTCCATCCAACTTTAGGTTTGTTCAGGATGACAAAGCAGTCACTCAAGATTATACTGTAGGATTAATTTGATACACATTTTTTCTATTATTCTTAAATCATCTGAATAAATGTTCAGAAATATAAAATAACATTTTAGGAGATAATATGAAACATCACAAACAACCTGCGAAACACTGGATCTGTTGCTGTTGGCTACATCAAAAGCGTGCATAGCACCCATAGCAAGTTAAAAACATTATTACTTTAGTCTAGATACATTTAACCAAAGGTTTTTTTTTAATATCTTCCTAAAGTTTGGAAATGAAAATAAAATAACAAAAGAAAAGTCATATTAAAGATATTTCACTAAGAAATGTGCTTCTACACAATTCATTTGAGCTGATGTGGGTTTGAAATCCTACCATCAAAAATAATGTGTATGTAGTATTACTAATGAGCTAGTTGTATAGTGGGAAAGATATAGAAAGGAGATGCTTTTACCATCAAAAATCTCCAGTTCATCAAACTGCTTCTCACTGTGGAACAACTCCACATAGATATTGATGGTGTACCCTGAGACACAAGACACATTTATGCTACTGAAACTGCAATTAGGATGTAAATCACAACATGTCACACGGCAAAAGAGAAACACACAAATAGATATATGTATTATTTGGCGCTGGGACCAACACACTGATCCTTTATTTGCAAAATAATAATAATACTCTTAAGGAGAGACCAAATGACACCACAAGAGTATGGTGCATATGAGAGTCCACTTCAGACCAACACTTAGCAGTTCACCTCCACCTCAGGGATAAGTGACAGTAATGTGGACAGTTTTGTACACATTCTGGACAGAGATGACAGATGGGATAAAGAGAGAGGAGTAAGGGAAGCAATCCATGTCAAACTGGAAAAAAATCACTTTAAAATGAAGAAGGAGTCTAAGCAATCAGATTCATTTCACTTAAAATGCAGCATTGCCCTTCCTCCCTAAGCAGTTTCTGGACATTCACACCTTGGATCCTATGGCTGAAACTTAGTTTTTAAGACAGTCAGGACAAACTACAAGTGAGAAGGAAAAACAATGTACACTGGCTGGGATTTCAGACTGTAACAACTCTTCCTGCTTATGAGCTGATGCTCCTCAACATGCACTTTGGAAACCAGGAAATATTTTAGGTGACAAGTGAAATGTCTTAAAGATCTGAGAAGAACCACAACCATCTTTTACTCCAGCTCTTAGGACTAAAACCTCAGAATGGTTACGCACGACACATTTAGCTTGGTGCTACAAAAACAATAAACCAAAAAGGATCAAGCATAAAAAATAATTCTACTATTCTGACTGAAACTAAACTTTTAAATGGATTGCATACATGTTTATCTGATATCAGAAGACTATGGATTTCTCATTAAACAACCACAATGTGGTAATTCAAATCCATTGAAAATGGTATCCAGCTTTAAGGTGCCATGCTTGTGTGTATTTACAGTTGGCCAAAAAAATCATTTTAAACATAATCAAACATCTGTGTGTGTAGTTCAAACCAGACAACACTAAAAAAGTCAATAAGAAATGGAGCACTGTTGCACACTGTACCTTGGATCATACGTAGCAGCCAGGAGCATGTCTGGCTGTTGGGATAGTTGCCTGGAAACCCAGGGCTCAGTATGACTCCTGATGATGACAAACGCTCCTCATTGGCTGGGCACTGGGCTGGAAAGGTAACAAATGACCAGATGAATTGTGCAAAATGGACAAAAACAAACATATAATCCTATTGTAAGGGGTTCCCCCCTCGCTTCTAAGAATATATAGTCTGTAATAGATGGACGGAAGAATAAATGAAATAGCTTTCAGGCACTGATCTCCTGAAAGTATTGTCTCCTGCTCAGATCCGTTACTTTACACCCCTCAGGTTATTGAGCTCGTGAACCGAGACCACTTTGTTGAGTTGAGGCATTTAAAGAAAAAGCAAACATTTGGGAAGCTAGTCATCCAGGATGCTGTGAATATCGAGGAAAAATACATAAAAAATGATAAAGGAGGAATAAAAAAGAACAGAAAAAGTATTATTTTTATTTACATATTTACAATATTTACATAGATCACTTTCAATGAAAATGGTTTTAGACATGCTTGGGAAATCTATCAACATCTTATGGAATTTAAATAGAAACGGCAAAATCTGCAGTGCTACTCGGATTTATTTCCTTCCCCTGATACCTTTCACATTTATTTACCTTATAATGTGATTTAGCCCAAAAAAAGAGCTAAACCCAAAAGGAGTTTTGAGGAGGGCCTTCCATTTTACTCTGCGTTGCCTTATAAGACCCAGCGGTTCTTATTTTCCTTTCTGTTTTATAATGAAAAACAGATCTCTGTTCATTCCCCGTGATAGGAAAAGCTGTGCAGCTCTTCATCTTTCAGCTACAGTGAGGAAAATTGAATTTTCTAAAAAGAGCCATTTGAATCAATAGCATTTTTCTAATGAAAATAGCAGGTGCCAAAACCTTTTACCTGCTTTTCAAAAAGTTTCAGGGATCACACTTGGAACATAGATAAACACCCACATACATTATATAAGGTTGCCACTCTGAACTGATAATTTAGTTAATAACTGCAGCACTGGCTTGATTAGAAAAATAAATTATTGTGTACATTTTTACTTCAACTCACAACACAAAGGTTATTTTAATTGATGTCTAACAGCGACTGCACTGTTTGACATAAATTTGGTCAAGTTTTTTTTTAAACTTTCCACTCTCTAAATACGAGTCAATCTATCACTAATGTGCTGACTGCCTGACTTTGTTGTAGCTTACGATTTCCTTTATTTTCCAACATGACATATGACAGCCCGCTGAGAATGATGCTGAGCTGGCTGCCCACAGATGAGTTTTATATGTTGGTGAAAAATGTGATAATTATCCAGTAATATCAACTTTTCCTGCGGATGTGAATGCTGAGGCTGTCTTTCATGAAGCTATACAGTTTTTTTGATCATTTCAATTAGTCATACTTTGTGTTTCTTTTCTTTGGTTCATGATATGTTTCTGGCTTTAGTAAAAACTTAGCCTTTCTTGTGAGCATTTCCATTTCTCATGCCTAAGCTTGTTTTTTTAGTGTTGTCTTAAGTCTCTCACAGCTCCTGTCACTGGTTTCACTGGTTGTTTGGATGCACAGTCACCAGTTAGTGTACATAGTCTCTCTCTCAGTTTCCTTTTTTCAATGATACCAGATTAAACTACCCCGCTATTTTTTAGTCCACTGTCTTTCTATGCTGTGTTTTATTGCCGTTATTGTCACACTTTTGGAGCATGACCACCTTTTTATTTTACATTGCTGCATAGCTGGTTAATTTGTTATTTCACGATTTCTTCATTCAATTGAGTGGCTGGATTGAGCTTTAGCTTACCTTGACATTTTGGGGGCGGGGATTCAAAGAGCAAATGAGAATTAAGTTTACATATAAGCTCTGCTTTTCCAATGAGTGTGTATCCAGGTAAGCAGCGATACTTCACAATGTCACCTAAGAAGGGGGACACAAAAAACAAGTTAAGTCGGAAGTCTTGAGTATAAAATATTTGTTTGTTTTTTCTTTCTTCTATATGCATATACTGAAATGAATTAATGTTTTAATGTAATTTTTAATGGGACAACACACTGCAAACATGGATAAACCATGTAACCTGCTCATCCCAGAAGTAAAAGAGTCACAATGCAAAGAAAATTAAAATTGCATGTTTATGATAACAATAATAAATAATAACATATATAAAAGTTTGAAATAAATTGAATGTAATACCTTTCATAGCTTTAAATCAAAATAGAATCAGTCAATCAAGCGCTACTTGAAGTGAATAGCACTGTATAAAATGTTGTTAAGATGTCATGGACTTTAAAATTGATCAATGAAAACCAAAAAATCATATGCAACAAATGTAAGCCTTCTTTAAGAGGAAATTTAAAAGAAGGCAGACTGTGGAAACCTCATATCCTTGTGTGTAAAAACAAACAAACAAGTAAATAGCAGATGTCCAGTGAGCACTTCCTGTAAACAAAACTAATAAGTGTGTGCCACAGGGGCTTCTCTCAGTAGATCCCTTCAGATCTCCCTATTAAGTTTTGTTTATTACTCAAACAACCGATACTGGAGCAGCCAGGTCCCTCATTTCAAACAGCTCAAAGAATACAGCCGAGATTGCTTTTTGCATTAATTCGAAAGACTGTTCCACGAATGCAAGTTTGTTGGGTGTGTTGTGTACTTCACTTGAGTGTGTTTGGATGTTACTCATATGCAGTTCACTGAGGTACCAACAACATTTTTCTCATACTTCTGTATTTGTCTGAATTATGAATTCCCACATATTTAATCATTATTCTTGTTCTTGGACATTCATTTTTGTTGGTATCTTATGGACACTACCATCATCAAGAGAAGAGGACAGAGGCTTGCCCCATTCTTTAAAGCACTTTACAGCAAGGTTATCAGCAATCTTTTTTTGGTTTTCAATCTGGGCTGGTGAACAATAATGATGGTAGCGAACGACAAAATAAAAGCTAATTTGGTTCTGGGGTGCCCCTTTGACCCAGCGGAGGAGGTGGGAAGAAGAGAATGATGGCTAAGCCCCGCTATTTCTTTCATACTGGATATAACCAATACTAAACAATCTGAATAATCACAAACATAAAATGTTTGTTACTTTTGTACTCTCTCACTAAACCACGCTGTAACTATTGTGAAACTCCTATCCTATACCATCCTATCCTATCATATCTTATTAAAGCATAAATGGGACTTACAGACCTTCAATAAACTATATATAATTAAAATGAAAATAAAAGCATTTTCCTGAAATCGACCTGTAAAAGCTTTTTCGGTCCTGAAGCCCTCTATTTGATATCATATTTGACAGAAATAATCAAACTGAAATCCTGCTCTGGTTCGAACTGAAAGAACAACAAAAAACAATACTCATCTGAAATTAATTGAATTTTAGAATGTCTTAACTTCATAAAGAATAATAATGTGGCAGGGCAAAAATTTTACAACTATCATGTTTCCCATGTCCCACTGGTATAACACTTCGTAAATCCGGGGACGAACTTCCTTGTCAACAAGATCAAACATTCATTGTAAATACAAATAAGACGGAGATTCAGGGAGGTGCAATTTTCATTATAGAATGGAAGCACATGTTTACCTTTGTTAATTCTCTCAAAACCTCTATTTACTCAAACAAAATGAACAAAACACAAAAGTGCAGCCAAAATGCAAACCAATTTCTCTAAAAAGTTGATATGTCTTCCCAAATGCAACAAGGTTAATATATTTAATTTGTCAATCCGTCTAGATATAGTCGGTTTCGCCTCAACGCACAGCTCTGGCTCTGGAACCAGTCTTCTTGTGAGGGGTTTGACACTCTTCTATTCTGGAGTTGCCCTCGGTGAGAGGTGCTGAGTGGGAGTGGGCATACCTGCTGCCCCCCATCTTGGCACCTGTACATTGGGGTTCATCCCGGTGAATGAGAGGGTAGCCCCCCTTCGCCTTCAGGTGGGGGGACAGGTTCTGGCCCCGCGACCTGACCCCAGATAAGCGGTGGGCAATGGATGGATGGATGGAATTTGTCAATCCATTCAACAATTCAAGGAATGAGAGATATAATAAAATAGCCCAAATTCATTTATCAGAAAATAAATGGAGTCCCTTCTTTCTATTGTATGGAAACTTGTGAATATCATATGCCTTCATATGTGTGATTACACTATATATATATATCAAATGTATGAGGAGAAACTTTCTTTTCAGTTTTTCTGTTGTGCATCTATTTGACCTCAGTAGACTGAACAGCCCATTTCTGGGAGAGGAGGCATCTTTTATGCTGTTTTGGACTCTCAGTCTCTCTCTCTCTGAGCAAATGTCCTCTGAGTGGGGAAACTGTTTGTGGGAATTCTTTGTCAGAACTTCACACAAGACGATAGGCCATAGACAGAACAATTGCCATGCCGGGCAGTGATGTGGTGCCTGTTGGGACGCTCTTTAACTGTGAAGTAGAGGGCATTCAGAACGGAGAAAGAAACCTTGAATTTACATAAATGTACCAAAAAGGTGAGTCTATGAATACATTTTTTGACTGTTAAGCTGTGAGTGGAATGTCCAGCTGGGAAACGCAGCCATATGTATGATAATGTATCTGAAGCTGCAGACTCTTTACAAAGGTTCTGCAGGGTTGAATCTGCTAACGTGCGAAAATCTGCTTCCACGTCTTCTCTCGCTCATTTTCAGGTTTCGTCTGATCCTTGGGACCTTTTTGTGGCCGAGATCAAGAGTACTATGACACTGAATGTGTAAAACATTTTCAAACCTTCAGTTATAAAGTGTTAAGAGATTTTGTCTGCAAAGAGACAACTGTGGAGCATTTGAAACACGAAGTACCATTGATCGAGGATGTGTTAAGGAGATGTCTCAGAACGTTTCCAAAACGTGTGTCAAATATAAATGTCATAATTTTCAGTGTTAAATTTCACCAAAAAATCCCTATTTTATAGTCCGTTTCCTTTTCCATTACGCTGGATTTTAGCCTTAACCGTGCCTGTCTGCGGGCCATTAGCAGCTGACTTGTAATTCAATACTTCACCTGAGAGGAGCCTTTGATTAAGCCCCAGTAAGTGCTCTTAAAGCCACCCATATTGCTTCACTGGTCCATTGTTTTTGCAAGATTGACTGGAAAACTGCCAGTTACCGTGAGTGGGAGCATCTCCTTTTGTCGCTAAAAATCAGTCAGTTCTACATTTGATCTTTTATCATTATTACTCCAGCTGGATTTTTTTTGCATTTGATTTGATAGTGAGAAGAAAAAAAAACATCAGTCTGATTTGCAATATTTTGCCAGGGCTTTGTACCTCTTTTTGAACAGCATGTAGCAGCTGCCCACTGTGTTTCCTTCCTTTGTAGGAAGTTAAGCATGCTGTTTAAAATCAGGCACAGACCAGGCTGGTTTTGCTTAATGGGTGCTGCTGTCCAAAATTAGAACAGTCCCGCAATTTCTTCACAGTTGTCACTTGATCTCCCTCACGCAGTAGAGATGCTGCAAAGCATGCGCTGATATGCACAGAAAATCAAACATGGGGGAGTGAGAAACATTTAGGGGGCTGCACGGTGGTGTGGAGGTTTGCACCGTGGGCTCACAGCAAGAGGGTTCCCAATTCAAATCTCCACGATACTGGGGGTCTTTCTACATGGGGTTTGGGTGTTCTCCCCATATCTGCAGAGATTTTCTCTGAATACTTTGGCTTCCTCCAACTGTCCAAACACATGCATGTTAGGTCAACTGAATCCTCTACTCTGAGTCAAAAAATACTTGTTTCCTTCTTTGCAAGACATATATAACTGTATAAGAACCAAAGAGGCTGTACATTTGAATTGTCATTTATAAAGCTAAAGCTGACTGTGTCACAATTAGCTTGAAGTGGATGCTACTGCAAAGTATTTTTTTCCATTCATGTCATAATCAATAACAATAATAATGAGCCACTGTAAGTTTGAACGGGTAATGAAGTCGGTCATTGTTATGCTGCAGCGTTCTAGATCACATAAGGTTTGTAAACATGAATGCCTAGAATAACATCATTAAAAACTCATGGTTAATTGGTTTAATATTTCTCACATGAGTGCAGGTAACTACACTAGACATGAAGGTTATGTTGATTTGTTACCAGGACAAACAGTCTTGTATGTTATAATATTATTTGTTGCTTCATTTTTTCGATATATTTTCGGTCTTTTTTTCTTATTATAAAATCAGCTGTTACCTATGTAGAAGTTTTCATCCTCATAGATCATATTTGCATTCTCGACAGCTGGAGGATAGGGGCATTTCTTCAGTCGATACGCTGGAGACAAGAGGAAACAAACATTAAACCTTTCAGTTGTCTCACATATTTGTATTTGTTACAACAATGAAGTGGACATCTTGGATGTTTGTATATGTGGCAAGAGGATGAATGTAATCTCTAAAACTCATAAAGTAAGCATTTTTACAAACATAATTATTGTTTCGTTTTCTTAATATTGTTAGTACAAGGGATCTAATTGACATGCACAAAAAAAACAAGCAGAGCAGTTCTTTGTAAAGGTCATCCATGTGTAGAGAGAGATAGTGGAAGTGATGTGTGATCTTTATTTTCAAAAATATCTTGGCAGTTCTTTAAGGGCAGTCATGCGTGTATTATGTTGTAATAGGAAATATGACTTTGACATAAGGTTACATGTAGCTCAGAATGTTCTAGCTGCCACACAATTTAAAGGTTGGCGACTGTTCACCAAACCATTAGTGGGAAGTTTTACATTTTGAAAATGATGTGTGCCATGTCTCTGGTTAAACAGAATATACCTGCACTCGGCAGTCTAGCTGAAGAAAATGTAGAAGACAGTTTATTTAGGAATGTTTCTTGAAGTCAAAAAAATTAGACCTACAGTGCGGATTCTGTCTAGATGGCTTGTGATTCAATACACAAGAGACCTGTGTAAAATGATGTTAACAGCCTGTCAACAGCAAAGCAAGAACGCGCACTGAACAACAACGGGTGGATTTAAGCATTTTGCAATGCCAAGATTTTGAACCAAATTTTCAGCCTTGGGATTAAAAGCTGCACCTCAAAGTGCACAAACACGACTTGGTCTAAGATGAAAAAACATGAAATCATTTGCAATGGAACCATAAGCATCCAGATTACAGACTTTCTTTTCCTTTTGGTTGTGTTTTTTAATCATTAAATCCCTCTGAACTGATCCCTCGATGCTATTAGGTGGCTAAAACAATGTGAGGCTACATACATTTGCAATTCGAAAGGCCTTTTTGATTGTGAATGTTTTGTTTGTGGAAATTTATCTGTAAAAGGAGGGAAAACATTTACTTCAATAACCATATTTGGGTGTGAACTCACCATGGAAATTAAGAATAAAGAACCCTCCAGTTGAGAAGTCGGAGTGAAAACGGATGAGGACCTGTGAGCTGCTACTATAGGCAGACTCCAACGCTGTGTTGCCACTGAAGACTCCTAGCTGAGTGCTAGATGTATCAGGACCATCCCTAAAAAGAGAAAGAATGAGGAAACAGAAATGAAAAAAATTGGTTGAATGGAGAAAAGATCTGAAATAATGCAGTAGAACAACAGACACTTTGACAGGCACTGTAACAACAACCTGAAAGACAAATAAAATACATGCATTAAAAAAATACACTTTTTTTTTATTCTGGTTATCAAAGCAAGATTATTCCATGAATTTTATCAGGCATTAAGTCAAACATAAGACATTTCTTGGATAGTATATGCACATTATATTTTATTTACATCACGGCGGGAAAAAAGAAAAGAGCCTAAAGCAAGTTGGGCCAGCACTTTTTTTTATATCCCCTTTAACAAGTACTGTATGAAAGTTTGAAGGCTTCAGCTCTTATTTGGAGGATTATCTTTCATCCCCTTGAACTGTCTCTTTTAAGACCTAACAAAAGATTTTGAATAATTTTGTACAGGTTATAGGACTGTAAGCTGAGACAACTGCAGCTTTCCAATATTTCCCAAGAGCTTTTCTTATTCAAAACTTTGATTTGGATTTTTTCCATAAACGGACCCCATCCCTAATTCGAATAAACACTGCTTTGTATAACAAAAGTCAAACACTGTATTTGCTGTAAATGTTCGGTTTTGACTATCGCGTGATGTTTTCTAGAGTTTCAATGTGACAACTTACATTTCCAACCGAAGTTGCAGCCAGATCTCATAATCCTGGAGGGCTATTTGGACAACTACTACATGATTTGTCAAGCACGTTCCAAAAATTCTCAATGGTAAGAAGATATGGCTAATTCATTTGTAAAAAAGACGTCTCATGCTCCGTCATGCACTCGTTCACAATTTAAGCCGGCACCATATTTCTTTAATATACAACTTTCATCAGGGAAGAAATTATTCTATTGATGGAAAAAGCTACTCATTCAATATTCAGATGGTGTGAGCTTTTAAATAGATAACACTGCTGAACCATAACCTGACCAATGAAAACAAGTATGGATCGCCCTCAAAAGAAATGATGGGTGCTGCAGTCCGCTTGACTATTTTCCATTGCTGTTGATTCCAGTCTTTCAACTCCCTATTCACTTTTAATTATTCTCACTGATAAAAAGCTTTCTTAAGGCTACACACTATTCAGAGTTCCCGTTGTATTTTGTTTTTGGACATGCTCTCTCACTTTAACTATTAAACACAGCATTTGATTTTTCCTCAGCATTGTCATTTAATAAAAATGTAGGTGGATTTCCAATTGGGATCAGTAAATTTCCTTTTTGAACTCATTTCTTCCTTAAAGACAAAGCTTTGACTGTCCTTCTGGGTTAAATGTCAGCATTTTTGCTTAATTATTTTTGTCTGCAGAACTAAAACAGCTGCAAATCAACGTATTCTGATTAGTTTATTTCCCCAGAACTTCACAGGGATAACTTTGTTTCGCTGAATTGTGATCTATCCTTAAATAAGTAAAAATGCTCTCTCGTGAAAATTACTGAATTAAGTCAGTAGCACCAAGTTATGTGTTTTGCTGAAAGGGATACAACAAAAAAACTAAATAAAACATAAAATATAAAAACAAAATGAATGGAACAACAACTTTTAAACCCTGCTTGTGCTGATAAGACAACTTTTTATTTATTTATTCAATCCACCTGTGACACGTGAAAATGAGTTCTGAGTGTGAGATGTACACTGATTGCCATAGGCTGCTATAAACACTCTGTTTTTATTTTTCCCCTCAGTTCAAGTCAAAATGGTGGAATATTTCATCTGCTGTTGGGGAAAAAAACAACAACAAATACCTTCATGCCTGATATCTTCTTGCTGGATTGGGTTCTAAAAGCTTAACAAATTGCACTGCATTCCAAAAATGAATTGAGATCACAAGAATAAAAAAAAAAGGGAAGCTTTGTCTATGAAAAATGTTTAAATGCTTCTTAAGTGGTATTTTATTCTGCTTAGAAAGACTTTGTTTCAGTTGAGGAGCCTAATTTTCTGATATATAAAAAGACAAAGTAAACTGTACAAATTGTTGATTGCTGGGAAATTGAGTTATCTTTTGCCAGATTCTCGGACAGAGCAACAACTTAAATATCAAAGTGAGCATAAATATAAAAACTACTGTTTAGACTACTCAAAGCGAATTTGACTGAGTGAGTGTTCAGCATCACAAACATCTGCACCGTGCTTCTCTCACTTCAGATTCACTGCCTTATGCAAGCAGTGTTTCAGTAGCATTAGGCATGGAGCCAGGCTCAACTGGTGGAAGACCACAGGGACAGTTTGGCTTCAGTCCCTGACATTTGCATGCAGCTGCTCTCACATAAACCTCTGGGACACAAAAGGTAGACATAAGCAGACACAGATCACGTTAGTGTCTACATGGCACGCTAAAGCAGCTCCAAAGTACACCTCTTCCAAGTCTGATTATGAACACATCAAAACAGACAGAAGGCAGCACAACTACAAAGGCCAGCCAGGACAGATGAGGGATCAGAAGGGAGAAATCCTGGTTTCTCAGTACAGCGTTTAATAATGGTGTTTGTTGAAATGTAATGCTCCACCCAACATTATTTCAAACCATGTTCTATTTTTTAAAGTATTCAAAAGCACAAGGTAGACATCCTTTAGACATCGAGTCACAAAAATAAAAACTATATATTCAAAAACTTGATATTCAACCTAAATCCCTGACTTGGTCACTTCTACTCTTAATCCAGCAGGCTATATGTAACACATTGTATAATATTTTTCTTTCTGACTGTACTGTACTTGGAAATCCGAATAGTAAAATGCCCATGAAAAAAACATTTGCCCCCTATTTCATGCTCTTCAAATTATATTGCTTTGCTTCTTTTATCTAGAGCTGTGTAGGCATGTAATTAAAGAATTCTAACTACTCATCTGAATGCAGGACATTCAAAAAGTCTAAAGAGGTCCATGTTCATAGTTTAAATAGATTGTTAGTTATTAATGCTCTGTAAGCCCTTACTCTTGGCATTGTGCTTCACATTTCCACAAGAAAAGCAAATCTGTTTCTGTCTGAGGGAGAACAAAAATACTGAATAAATATCACTCATATGAATGAAATACCTCATGAGTAAATTACTATGGTGTTAGGTTTTTTTTGCCCCAAGAATCAGTTGTAATGAAAAAAAAAATGCTGCTGCAGTGGACCTTTAAATCAATCATGCTAAATCTGTCTAAGACCCTGGAAGGTAGACGGGTGTCCCACTGGGTCTGAAAAAAGCCCTTCTCTCCTTTGTGTCGGCCCCCCGGTCACTTCCAAATATATTCATGAGACAAATAGATTTTTTTGGGCTTAAGATTTTGGTTAAGTTGTGTACCATGGAAAACATTTATTACAGACAAGGCTTCTCTATGGCTAGAGCCATGATTGTGGTCATCAAAAAATATCTAGAAAGCTAAATATTGCATCCTTTTCCTACTACTTACTCTCTACACAGCTTTTGACAGCTTTCGTTTGAAAATGAACACAAAACATGAAACATGTCAGTCGTAAAGCAAAAAAAAAGACAAAATTAGGGAAAGGTTCAAATTTATCCTAATTTCCTTCATGACAAATGCACTATTCATTGTAATTTCAGTAGGATATATAATGGATATTTAAAGTGCTATGTTATAAACTAAATACTCCTGCACTGACCAAACCTTGTCTGGTCCAGCTGAGTCCCGTTGGAATTGTGATCCCAGCGCTACCACTCCTTTCATTACATTTCCCACTCCCCACTGCCTCTCATCATTACTTCCAGAGTTGCCAAGCCCTCTCTGGACCTGCGTCTGGCCACGGTGCTGCCTTAGATTGAATTGGTCAGTGGTCCCATTGGAAATGCATTACTCTCCCACACTGTATTACATTCCTACTTCTACAATGAATCCCATTACTACCCCTCAAGAGGCTGTGCATACGTGTGTATGTGTGTTTTTGTGTTTAATATTGACTTCAACCTCTCTGTGAAACCCTGACTGTATGCAGAATTAATGTGTGTTTTTGTATGTCTTCCTCAGAAAAACTGACAGTTGTTCTTACATTTCTGTGAAGAATGGCATGAATGGGATTACTCAATGTCAGGGACAGCATAAGGGAACCATCAAAGTATGTTTCAGGACATGTGTATATGTATAAGTAAATGAACACACTGACAAGTGAGATGCCATCATTTTCAAATAAGTGTGTAGAAGAGACAGGGAGTGAGGTGCATTAGGACCTACCTGTCACTGATGCAATCACTGTCTAGATGATGCATTAAAAGACATCTAGTCTTTCCTGTCTGTGTGTGTCTGTGTCATGAATGTGCAATTGTGACTGTAGTCTTACCAGGCAGCAATGTAATCTGTGACAGGCTCTGTCTGCAGCAAAGTGAAGTTGATGTAAACTCCGTGTCCGTGGGGAACAGTGATGAGCCAGCTGCAGTCTTGGGAGTTGGGGTATTCATTGGGATACTGAGGTGAATAGATGGTCCCGTTTTCAGCCGTGACATTATAGCCACAAGGAGCTGTAAAGAAGCAGAGTTATGGTATTGTTTTCTTGCGAGCTTCTCAGTCTCCTCTGGAGACAGGACTATAGAACGGCACAGAGTGAGGGATTTACCGCAAATAACCAGAATATTCTCATTACTGGTAAAAACAAAAGCAGGATTATTCTCAGTAGGAAAAATAGAAGAAACATTTACTTTTTACCTTTTTAAACTAGTGTATATAATGAACAAACCAAGTGACACAGAGTTGCACTCTATTGACAGTCTTTACATGTGATAATGGAGGAAAAACCTGATCAGATTTATTCAGTTTCAGTCATGATAACATTACTTTTTGAATGTGTCAATCATTTAGTAAAGTGGAGTCATGAGAATTGCTGAGAAGAAGCTTTTAACAACAACAATACAGTAGCTTCTTATTGTTATTTAGATTTTTAGAACGTATCATATCAAACCAAATAACCATTAACATTTAAAAACATTCAATGCTTTTCTTTTAATGTTTTTCTAAAGACTTTATTTTCATTCCTTTTCAAAACGACCCTGTACCAGATCACGTTCGTAGGAATGTTTTTGTCATGTATGTGTTTTTGTAAAGCCACTTCACACCTGAGAACTTTTGAATCACTCAAGGAAAAAAAAGCCACCTCATTCAATAGATGTATCAATTTTTGTTATTTTGCTTCAGAGACAATTTAATAAAAACTGTATAAAGATCATGTATATCATCAGAAAATGGAGGGTGGGATAAGACATTTGCACAGTACTGCATATCCAGAAAGTAAACATTCTTCTTACCCTCACAGCGAGGAAATGGATGGTTCCACTTCCTATTGGTCCCATGCAGGCATGTGAGGACTGTGTGCCCAATCAACACATAACCAGAGTAGCACTGAAAAGTTATGGATTGACCAGCACTGTAGTCTTTATTGATGATGTCACCGTTGGGAAAGGGAGCGGGATCCTGGCAGTTTTGAAGTTGATAAGCTAAAAGCAGAAAAAAGGAAATTGACCGTCAGCATGGGAATACTACTGATTTATTTAAGGTCATCTCCATTTAGGCACGGGAATAATTTGGAAATAAAAGCCTCTGCTTGTAAAGCACAATGTTAATTAAAATCTATGTTTTTAACCAATAATGTGTAGTTATACACTCTAACTATATAGTATTTTCCAGGTATGTGCCACATATCTAGCACAAATTAGCCACATATCTGACAGAGGGGTTGACTTGGTCCACAAGTTCTGAAATGTGACAACTAACTAGTAAAACTGGTAATCATATCTGTCAATTTCTTTTTCTCTGACAACTAATCCACTTGAGTAGACATCAAAAATCTATGAACTACATAAAAGAGCAATAGTCAATGCGTCAGCGCGTATTAAAATGATGTCCTCTGTGTTTGCACATGTATGCATGCCGGCACTCTCTGGAGGATATGTCAACTTCACAGATCTTGGAAGCATATGTCTCACTCAGCATTAGTGCCATGGTAAGTCAGGGTTAAAATGTGCCTCTCACAGTAAGCAGAGGTGGCTGACACTGAACCATCAGCTGCCACGTAAAGCTTGAGAAAATGCTAATGCACGTAGAAATCCATTAAACATTCTTAGCACAAGGCCAATACACAGCATTGGCTAGCAGAGTATGGAGAATACTTTGCCAAAAGACGTTACAGACAGTGTAAGTCGGTCATATCAGAACAAAAACTGACACAAAAAAACAAATAACAACAACCAAAAAAAAATACCTTTGGAATTTGACATACTAACAAATCATTACTGTAGATGGACATTGTGTTGATGAAATGTCATCATAAAAAACTAAACATAAATGTTAATGAGATCTGAAAGCGACCGCTTTAACTGCAAGAGGAAAGCATATGACAGGAATGATACAGAAATACGATGAGCTGAAAGAGGAACTAAGAATGTATGTAGGGCAGAAAAATGCGCTGGTGGCAGTAAAAGTACACACTGTTGTAAAACTATGCCAAGAATGTTGCTCCAACTGATTCCGGGCACAATTTTTCTAAATTTCTTTGTTGCGAAGTGCATTTTTGGGCACTGAAATCTCGGAATGCCAAGTCTGGAATCAGTGCTCTCTTAATCTTTCATGAGCACAACTTGGGTTCAGAAAGTGGGTAGTCTGCCACTGCATTCACACACATTTCTCTGGCCTGAAGACTCAGCCGTCTCAGGTTTTATGGGTGTGCGCGCAACTATTCAGACTATTGAGGATCAAATCTCCCAGGCCTAAAGCACAGATTCTGAGCTTGCACGTGATGAAGAGTGGTGCGGGGATGAAAGCGTTCGCTCAGGCTGGGGGAGCATCGCGATCATCTGTGTGCGCTGCATCCTCCTGCCAAAGAACTTTAAGTGTCAGACTGGGGGAAAAGAAGAATCAAAAAGGCTCTGAGTGCTACTCCGCACATGAGGAAGAAAGTTTGCAATCCCCAAACGCACTGGTGGGGGTGTGGGGTATGGGGGGTGGGGGGGTGACGAGTGCTGCAGTATTAAGAGAATTACCATTGCAAATTGGGAGTTTAAAAAAAATAAAGTTATAAAATGTGCATTAATGTTGAGTTAACTTTTGTGTAAGTAACTGAGCCTTGTTCTAGGAATGCTGGCTTATAGGCCTCTAGTGCATCTCTTGTGTCTTTGAAGTGAGGAACGTAGGGCTACAAGTAAAGCCTGCTGGACAAGATGCCAGTCTCTCACAGGGGGTTACTGGCAACCCATCTCTTTTAATGATGAGAGAAAAGCCATAAGGGTTTTTTTTTGTCTTTAGCACTCATCCATGGATCAAAACTAAAAATCCTTACAGCAATATGTTTTTGCATCCCACAGCGCATTTCTTTCAGTTGGTAAGCCTTTGTGATTTGGCCTTTACATCAGAGAGGATAATTTACTCTAAGCCCTCATTGAGACTGTTTTTTTAACAATTGGGCAACAATTGTGATGTTTACGAAAATTGGGGAAAATCAAGCAGCAGACTCACTAAAAAATCATTGATATTCTCTCATCTTAAATTTGTTCAAACATAACACTATGGCCGTGGTCTTATCTGTGTGCAGTTACCCAAGAAGACATTTCAAAATAAAACTCTTACCTTGATATGTCAGTTTGAATCCGGGTCTGTTCTCTGAGTGGTCACTGTAGAAGTGGATGATTGTCAGGTGGGTGGTGCTCATCAGAGGAGGTGGAATCTGTGAGCCAGTAAACTGACCAATAAGAGCAGAGCTGTGCTGTGGCCCAGCCCTGACCTCTAAGAAGTCATGGTTGTCTTCTGAAGAGAAGTTTTGGAATTGAATATGGGCTCCTGGAATACAAAAAAAATGCATAAAAATTTGGGTGCAATGGGTAATCCACTATACTATAGTATACTATTTGACTAGATATTACGTTTTTATTTTTTATTGTTCTTGTAACCTTTTAAAATAATGCAATTGATAATATCTAAAAAAAGGCTTCACTCAGCTCTACAGTATCTGGTTTTGCTGTCATTTTGGAAAATGTACGCTCACAAAATAGTACAAGCATCCAATTCGAATCTTCACTTTATCTAGCCATTTAACTGCCTCTTCCATGTGTGAGGCGGACATTTACATGTGGTCAAACTGTTGCATATATTTTCCTAAAAAAAAAGGTCCACATTTCCCAACTATGCCTGCAGAACTACTTTCTGTTATAATTCCCATTTACGAAAAATATTCCATCCCGTAACACAGGGTTTACCATGTCCAGCCGGCAGGGTGATCTGCCATGTGCAGTCCAGGTTACCAGGGTAGTTGCCAGGGAACCCTGGACTAAGGATGACACCACTCAACTCAGACAAGATCCCTCCACAGCGAGCTGAAAAGACATGAACAGACAACACATCAGTTTCTTGCTTTCAATATCCTAATATCCAGTGTCTAAGATTACCTATTTAAATGATGTAGTAAAAATAAAAATACATATCTCAGTAATAATACCGTTTGGAATATTCATTCTTTTTAATCAATTCAGCATCCGAAGGTGTCAAAAAAGGTAAAAAAGTGTAAGAAAAATTAATGGGAAATTTATCTTTTATAGAATTCCGTTTAATATATTTGCTTTTTTCTAGTATTCTCTAATCTACTCAAACAATGTTGTCTACTTGATTCAAACAATGAAGCCCATATATTTTCCACATCACTGGATTAATCATTCTTAACAAAATACAGTCAGCGGCACTGTGTGTCTGTGCATATTTGTTCTGTACCTATGCAAAGAGGTGGCGGGTAATTCCATCGACGCACAGTCCCAGGCATGCAGGAAATGTGAGAGTGACCCTAAAAGCGATTAAACAGTGTCTTAAATTCAACGTAAGAAAAAAAGTCAGCTTGTACATTTTCACATTTAAAGTGGATTTTATTTCTTGATCATCTGAAATATGGCAATGATTAAATGAATGAAGCGAATTAATTAAAAACACAATTAATGGCATTACCTGCAGTGTGTATCCAGGTTTACAGCTGAAAGCCACCACCTCATTGACCATATATCTATCTCCTGTTTTAATAACATTTGCAGGGATCATCGGCTCAGGACATGTGGTGAGGCCAACGGCTATAATGAAAAAAATAGATAAAAGAAACAAAAAACACAATGATCAGTGTTGTTGCTATTTCAATATGATTGCTACCCTTTCTTTGTATATATTACTAGTCTCTGGGTCCTAACAAATTACTTCAAAAAGTAAATGTGGCATGATCATCAGTTTTTAAAGTTGTACACGACTAAATAACAGATTGCTGTGTTTTGCTTTATCTTCAAATTTATCCACATCAACTAAAGTAATTTTATTATATACTAACATAAAGGAAAAGCACTTTCTCTTTTCTGATATTAGCAGTGCCTTTAATACACAAAAAGCAACTCATGATCACTTGTCTCGGTCTCTGCCTAAATGCATGGCCTCTATGCTTGAATGCATTTTCTTTCCTGTATAGTTACATAGCTAATACAATATTTTACTTCTGCATTCAGAAACGTTCATTATGTTTAAATAGAATATGTCATGAGTGAGGTCACATTTTAAAACAGAATTATGGAGAAAAAATTAGAGGTATAGACTTCGATTGATGAAAAAGTCATATAATTAAATCAGATGTTGTAATGACTCATACTGTACAAATAAAGCTCACACTGGAATTGAAGATTGAGGAATGAAAAAATAGGAGAGCTGCAAATCGACTTTTCATCTATTCCCAATACAATAAAGGTTAAACACTTTCTTAATAATTTTGGCTGCTGCAGGCCCCATATTAAATACCGTCGGTGGGACTGTATCAGTGCGTTTGTGTATGCGTGTGTTTGGAAACTTCAGGAAGTAACTGCCCCAGAGCAGTTACCATGGTAACACATGAGTGGAAGAGGGATGGGGGGTGAAGGAAGGGGAGACAGAAGAGTGGATGTTTGTGCATGTATGCTTGTGTGTCTGTTCTTGTTGGTTCATTATCTACCTTCCTACCAGCAAAACGATGTGATCTCACTGTGCTCACACATACACCCACACACACACACACACACACACACACACACACACATACACACACATCCAGGTGGCCTATAGCACCGCTGAATGACATTTGTGAGTGTGTGCGCATGAGTGACTTTTACATGAGAGTGTGCTTGCTGAGGGGAATGAGGGGGAATTTTTTTAGGAGTCTAAGTGGGAGAGCTGCATGACACCACACACACGTGGCAACACACACAAACAACTGTGCCATTCTAAAGAAGTAACACACAGCGTTGTATTACCAGGCAGATCATCAGCAGGCTGTCATGACAATTGATCAATGAAACTATTCAATTTGGCTGACCATCTTTCTCTCTTCCTGTGCACAACACACGGTTCTTCCTTTTCCTGGCCATGAGAGAGCAGTTATGCTCTGTAAACTGCTGACAGCACCACAAAACAGCCCACAAGGGCCACTAGACAAAAACCAGACTCTGTCAGCCTTTAAGCCTAACTGACTGTATTTACTACACTTGTTTTTTAGATTATGTGAGGTCAGACAAGTGAGAGAGATATCCCAATGAAAAAATGCCCATTATCAACTTAAAGTGGTAAAGACATAATCTCTACAACCATTCACGAGCCCACAGACTGTGAGAATTTGTTTTGCATGTGTGGACAGAAAGGACATTGGACTCATTGTGGTAAAAAATGGGATAACAGTGAATTATTTTCCAAGAGCAAATTCTGTAGTTTACAATAGTTCATAGTAAGGTGAGACAATGTTTTATTTGATTTAAAAACCAAAGTTGAGCATAAGCCATCTTTATTGTGGCTATGCCTTTTTGAAACTTCTATGGAAAATTTGGACCAAGTTCTGCTTTAATTAAAGCACTGGGTTTCTTATTTAGAGCAAAGCAAAAAAGTGAAGTATTGCTTGTCATCCGCCAGAGCTATTTGTTATAATTGAGGCATGAATAACATATAATTAGCTGAACCCAAGGAAACCCATGTCGTAAATTTAAATATTGTTTAATCCAAACAAATATAGTTATTAGTATACACAGATGTGTATGTTAATTATTTAAACTAATTTGTACTATAGATAGACAAGACAAAGTCTATGATAAGGAACAAAAATATATAATTGGATACAGAGATAATGTTAGTGATAGGATACCAAGATAGGAAATCCACTGATTTTCATATTCATAAACTCTGACTCAGAAATCTAAATATGTGCTATGAACTGGCGAGAATGGCATAGTTAGTGACCTTTAGTTGTTTGAGCATAAACATACTCACACACAGCTAGCTGTAAGAAAGTATTAATAAACCCACCCAATAATAGTGAATATTACTCTGATGAAAGGGCATCATAGCTAAAGTTCTCTTTGATCCTCAGAATTGTTCCTTTCCTTTGAGTTTAAGAAATACCTGGCTCAGAGGGATCTTATGCACTTATGCATGTAACTTCAAAGATTAAGGTTTAATCCTGGCTCAGGGTTGGAACTGGTGCGAACAGCAAATAATGATCTGTGCTTTTCTGTTTAAACAGGACAAAACCTCTTAAATCCACTGACAAAATGCCACAAACGATGGCCTGGTAACAACAACAGTTGCAACAAAATCCCTCTGGAGGTAGGCTAAAGGTTTGTCTGCCGCTTTTATCCCATCTAACCTCCACTACACAGTTTTACTACTTGCATTCCGTGTGTGGACCTGTTAACAAAAATCGTGTTGAAAAGTACAAGGTAACTACATTTAGAAATACTCTGAAGTGAAAGTATAGAAAAAATAGAATTGTCCTACTGGCTTTCATTCTTGGTGATGGCAGGTCAGCACACAGAGCTGACAAAAACACAATCGAGTCACAAATGTGTGCACCCACCTGGAAATCTCCAGGGAAAAATACTAGTTTGTGCACACTAAAACTCTCCTATTTTCTCACAAAAGGGGACATGTTCACTGATCTAGAAGTGATTCTAAGCTAAAACAACTATGCAGGACTGAAAACTACAACTATGCCCTGACAGGTGTGTAAATGCATGATGTTAATATCTGTGTCTATACCTATACGTGTTTGTGTGTGCAAGCGTGCTTTCTTTTTCATTGGATTTATGGGCAGTCATGACACAAGCAAATGTCTGAGTTTGTCTGAGCCTTCTTGATTCTCAGTTTCCGTCCCTGTAGGTGTGCATTCTGTGTGTGCACTTCAATGTCGGTCTCAGCGTGTGTGTACGCTCTGAGGCATTACTAGTTCAGGTCACTGACTCTTGTTATTTGATGCCAAAGTTTTGGCAGCAGTGCCGTGTGTGTGTTTGTGTGCATTCCAGGGAAGGTGGCACAAAATGTTAAATCCTGTTTTTGTTTGGTTCCAGCGAGTATTTTCCCTTTTAAGCCTTTCCAGCATGTTTCCATTTTCTCTTTATCTTTTTGTGTTGGCAGCTTGATCTTACTCTTGTATTCCAGGTGAAATCCTGCTGCAACCACACTGATGTCACTCTGAAAATGAAGAAGGAGCTGATTGGATGTTGAGTTGAGGAGGGCAGGAGCTGTTGTTCCTGTAAAGCCCCAAAAAAAGTCAGTAAGTTGTCTTTGTATGATTCACAATGTAGAAGAAGCCATTTTAATTACCAAACATATGTATGACAACTAAACAAATAACACTGAAACATTGCTTATAATTAAAAGGACAGGCAACAACTATGCAGCTTGCACTCTACAAACTTTAATGTGTTTTTATCACAAGACTTTACATGCAGAAAGATATGCCTCTAGCAGCATATTGTGCTATAATTTCTGCAACTAAAACCTGGAAAGTAACCCTCATTAAATACATGAATAAGCCGGAAAATAATGTGTAGACAGAAGCATTTTGGAGTCCTTATGAGAAACAGCTCCTATCTGCCCCACTGAAGCTTCTCAGTGGTCAACATCAGATCACAGTGGTTAGAGCGGGCAGCTCCCCAGTGTGGCTTCTTTAGAAGGGCACAGTTGTGTGTGCGTGTGTGTGCATGTATTGCCCTATAGGCGCCATGTTTTATGTGTGATAGGTGTGTGACAGGTATGCGCTTGGGGCAGGTCACAGGGGAAACTCTGCAGGGAAATTGCAAAAGGTTAGATCATTCTTTATCCGTGCCTGTCTCCTTCTCCTTGCTCCTTACTTTTCCTCCATCCTTAACCTCATTGCAATATTCTTCCTGCTGACTGCTTGGAACTGGAAGAACACTATCCCAAAACCATTTATCCTTTATTCAAGACATATGTCACTTTTTTATTACAGCTCATCAATCGTGGCTCTCCAATGTGTACTTATTTCATGTCTATCAAGAGTTTTGGAGTTTTCATAGGGATTCATCATAGATCTTGCTCAAGTTCATGTTTTTGTTTTTATTTGCAGTTTAGAAACTGTCATGTCTCATCTATCACAGAACTCTGGAGAACTTGTGTCCACATTGTCTGTACATAGGTTTATGTCCCTACGTGCATGTGTGAGCTTGTTGTCATACCAGAGAAAGACCCTAATTTTGGAGCTGTCATGTCTCCTCCATCGTAGATCTCAAGAGAGTCCCAGTTATGCTCAGTCGCAAAAGCCATTACTTGGATCTAAATAGTAAGCAAAAACAACATCGACTAGAATCGTCCATTGAGTCCATGAGCATCCACTATAATAAGAGTAAACAAGGTACCCTCACACGTAGAAGTGGAAACAAATGTGTTACCTGTATTCCAGCCCCTTCACTGACATGGATCCTCCACAGACAGTTGAGGCTGTTTGGGTAAGGCTCGGGGTAGGCGGGGGACAGTATTGTACCACGACGTTCAGTCAAATTGCCACTGCAGGGAACTTGAATGAAGACATATCATATTCATTTTCTGGCATAATGTGGTAACTGAATGTCTAGCAAATAGGACAGGATGTTAGCATATAGTTTTTGCATAAGTAAAGACAGAAAATATGATGTTAAAATTACCTCTATGGGGAGCCAAAGAGAACAAACATTATTTATGGAATACATTGATGTGAGGGTTGAAGCTGTTTGAGATAGCTCTCAGCAAAGAGATTTCAAATTAAGTATGTTAGAACTGCAGGGAAATGAATTTGGATTAATACTACAAAAGAATTAATGAAGAAAAAAAACTAACAAAGATCTTTTCCATCGATTTTAATTTATCCCCGGGATCATTTTGATGGTATATGAATAGGTTTTTAAGTTATCATCAGAGACGTTATTTTCATCTTGATTTATTATAATTTGATTTAACTGCTTACATTTCTTTATATGTGCTTGATACTAGTCAAATGTGATGACATATGAATAGATTCCTGTTGTTGGAGACAAACAAGTTCCCACATCTATCCGTTTTCTCATGAATTTCAGTGTTGTTTGGCTTACCTATACAGGTTGGCGTTGTTGAATTCCACTGAGCGAGGGCACCTGGTACAGCTTGGCACTGTATAGCACTGGAGCCTTTTAATAAATAACCTGGACTGCATTCAAAGCGAACCACAGAACCTGCTGAGAACTCTGAACCGATTCGTCTTCCATAGCGCGGCTCTGGCACTGAACTGCACTGACTGTCGCTGGTCCGAGGCACAGCTACAATAATAGCAGTAGTTAAATCATTCACGTGGAAGGACACAGAAACACACAGATTTCATGGTGAGCTTGAACTGAATGTGCCTTATTGAAATGATCTGTATGTATTCCTGAAATAAACAAAAACAGGAACAAACACGGTGAGAGTTACCTTGGTAGACGAAATGAAAGCCTCTAGCTGACTGGCCACTCTTGGCATTGAACCGGAGCATGATCTGATTGGATGTTGCCAAAGGCAATGTCTCTCCTGAAACAATTACAGGCAAATACACACACATGCTTATAAATGAATAATATTGCCAGTACAGCTTAAACTTCTCTCTAGAAATCACTGTAGTAGTCAAAATTCTCTCTTTATACCTCCAGAAACTATCAACAGCAACAGTGCCGAGTTCAAAAGTTCCTTCGAAAAGAAACTCACCACACACTGAGTTGCCCAAACTGTGGCAACAGAGATTCTCCCTCTTTTTGAACTGATGTAAAAGGATCTCACAAAAGAGTAATCTAACCAACATGCAAGCTAACGGGCAAATGCAAATACAGATTTATATGCACACACTGAGCACTGACATGGGCACTGAAAGTAATAGTGATAAATGAGATTAACATGGCCTGTTGCAACTGACATTTAGAACCGTCATTGGCTGCGTCAAGCTGTGTGTGCATGTGTAAATCCTGTGCACTTGTATAGAAAAAGAAAGCACAGTTTCACTTTCCTTTTAGTTTAATTGTTATTAAAAATCTGGACATAATGACACATCCCCTGGTCCGTATGTGATCTTGGTATGTTTGTGAGGCAGTATAAATGGTCAATATTTTTTAACCTTAAAGAGAAATTACCAACAGAAATAAGCTGCAAAGTATAAGGTTAATAAGGGTTGTGAGTTCAGCTATTTACAATGCAGCTGCAAGTCTGCATGTTCTGTAATATTTTGACATCTTCTCATGCATCTTTGAATTTTGCTGTCTTGAAAACTGATTTGAATCAAACTGGCATGTAGTTATTACTTTATTAGAATTTTTTACACATTGTTGCAGTATTATTCTTTATCAAACAGCTTTAAAATCTTCAAACAAGACCCCAAAAAATTAAATCTACATTTCAGAGATATCATATGAAGTCAAACTTAACGTCAGTTCCACAGGGATATCCCTTTGGCATGCCCCCTAGTCAGGGAACACAAAACTAACATGAAAGGGAAAATCATTTCCAATGGCATCACATTTTGCCAGGAGCTACTTTATGTTAATCACATTTCTTCATATTTAGTTTACCATTCTTTGTGAATCATAATGATTTTGCCATGAGTCAATATCAGTCGATTCAACACGTTCGACTATGCAGAGGGCCAAAATGTTGCCAAGCTGGGATGAGTCAAAGATGAACGGCATGGGAACCTGTGGAGGGCTGTGCTGGGAAGTGCTCCAGGAGTGTATATTGTACAGCCCCAGTGAGACACTTTCAGGGGATGATTTCTTCTTGTAAAGATAACTCTTAATGGATTTTCAATACATCACTATCAAATAAATTGTTATAACGACCAGTGGTGTGGTGTTCTCCAGCCCCTGAGAGCTGCTGTTTTACCCAAAATGTTATTATTTCCCCTCTGTAGAGATAAGTTTAGGATCTCAAAAAGAGGAGAACAAATTCAAAGAATAAAAGCAGAGTTCCTGTTTCAAAAATACAATGTCAGGCTAAGCAGTGAAAGAACAATCCACAAACATTTACTTTAGTTAGAAGAAAACCACATCAAATATCCAAAAACGGTATCATGATAGTTTCGTAGAACAAACTTACCAGAATGTGATCCGGCCAAGGAGCTTAGCAATCGAGCATTTTCACTGCCTCCATCAAATAGTTCCACTGAGTCATTCATTGCTGTTTGAAAAACTGCAAACTGACCAAATACCACTGCAAAAAAGAAAAGAAGGAATAATTAGAAAGAAATTCCCTCTTTTTCCGTTGCCGTTTCTGCTGCAGCAAAAATAAGCCAAAATAATCCTGCCAATGTTATACGTACCAAACTGGGGGGATACTGTGATGTAATAGGAGCAAGTTTGTCTTGTGGTGTAGTTTAAAGGATAGTTTGGTGACAGAACAACACCTTCAGATCCACCATAATTTCCTCCACATGGAGCTGTTGACAGTAAGAAATCATTTTAAATTTCTCATTTGAAGTTTTAAAATTCAACCAAGACATTTTGCATTCTCAGAGAAAAAAAGAACAGCAAAACCTCAGGTGTATATTTTCAAATATAAAGGCTGGAGGACAGAGCATTTGTGTTCTTTCAGCAGCTGTAACTGCACAGTGGCTCTTTCACGGTCACAAGCTGAGTATGGAACAAATGACACTTTCAAGGAGTTAGGTCAGTGATCTGTTGAGTTCTACCAGATTCCTTCAGACTGGACACATCAATGTGTTATCACAGAGCAAGAGCGTCAACGCAGAGCACACAGACAGCATGCACGCCTTTCTGCTCCACTGAGGTTGGGTGTGCTGTCAGAAGCATAACACATATGCCTGAATGGATTTGGAAGCAAAGTGCTGTGCCTGCTGCATGCTACGTAAAAGCTTCTTTAAGGCACAGCGCCAATTCTTTGTCTTATTTTCACCCTTTCAGTTGAATCCTTGCAAAAAACAAGAGGTAGACAATAAAGACCAGTCCTTAAATACTAAAATCCAGGTACCAGAACAATAGTAACAAAGAGCATAACTCATAACGGTAACACATAGCAAAAGAAAATGTGAAAGTTTGTTTGGTGTTTGTTTGTGGACTGCCAATGTCCATTTTCAAAAAGAGAACATATTATACATGAACATCTTTTTATACTGTAGCACATTATGGTAAACTAATTAACCTGTATGAAAAGAAAAAAAAAACGTTTTCTGTCCAACTAATTAGGAACAGGCTGTAGATGGCTCAGCAAAGAGAAAAAACAACTAAATGAAGATGCTATGAGAATGAAGATGTATGATTTCTTTGTCACTTGGAAGTGCTACTAAATCCTGTGTCGAGTGGTTAGTGTCACTCATCTTAAACCCAACAAAGGGCTTTAATGACCAAATGGGATTGATGTAGAACTAGATGATTTCACGGGTATCACAAAGATGATGTTTAGGAAAAATCCTATTAGAACAAAGAGTAATGCATGACCCACAAGAAACATATAGCTCTATAACGGCCATATTTGAAATCTTCCAGAGTGGTAAATACTCATTTACTAACAGTATGTTTTTGTGCACACAATCAAGTGTTACTAAAGCAGGAAGAGGTCACTGACATCTGAGTGTCTACAAATACACATAACAACAGATAGAATGTTTTCTTGCTCTCCCCCAATTCAACTTATCTGGCATCTCATTTTGAATACTATAGATTGAACCTGTACCAGCCAGACCCCACATGCACCAATGCTGTATTTAATTGATTATCTGACGGTTTCCTCCAAAAACCTGCATGCTAGGTTGATTTGACATTCCAAATAACCCTTAGGAGTGAGTGTGCAAAGGTTGAAAGTTCTCTGTGAGACATGAAACAACTATTTCTGAATTAAAATGCTGCACAGGAGCTGTTGTCTCACTGTGGTGCTCAGTCTTGCTGAATTGTATCAGCTCCTGGGTTTGTGCATCTCTTTAAATATACCTTAAGGGCAACACTCTCAAATAAAGACTTTAGCATTTTAGTCAAGAGGAAATTGAGCATAAAAGACTCAAAAAGTCCTCCAGAGTATCCTGAAGCACCTCTACTTTTTACAGCTGGGGGCTGTTAATCACAGAGGACTTATCTTTGACACATGTAATGGTCTATGAGACTAAAAGCAAACACATTAGACATTTCTCCATTTTTGGCTTTGGCTTGGCCAATAAAAACAAAGTATGTGCCTAATATAAAAATAACAAAACGTGGTCTCTTTCTTCAAAGACAGTTGTTGCATACCCCCGCACACATATTCTACGCCCAAATTCATCTCCTTCTCTTTTTCTCCTGGTTTCCAAAAGCATTGTAGAAACATTCACCATTTTCCTCCCCTCCTGATTCTGTGCACAGATATTGATTGGTATTTTTTGGATTGATTTTTGTTGTGCTGTCGTATCCAAACCCTCAGGTCTAGAGGTCTTGTCTTGATCTACCCACAATCCCCCAGTGGTGCTGCTCCAGGCTCAGGTGTCAGCCTTATCAAAAGACTCCACACACCAGCTTTGATCATTCTTACCCTCGCCCTCAAACACACACAAATGAATGCAAAAAATGTAATGCAAGTTGCTCTCTTTCTCTCACACATCCAGAAGCTTTGATCATCCTCACTCATACACAACAGCTTCGTAGTTCTACCTCTCACTGTCGGCGTCTCATTTTCCTGTTTCTCTCACACACACAAATGGCAGCGCTTAAGGTTGCTGTTAGAGCACGGAAAGACGTTTCTGAAATATCCCAAACTTTTAAAGTTGTGTTCCAGTTTTACCACAAGTGTTTCTGAAAACTAGTATCACGGCAGTTACCTTAACTTCAGTTTTATGAAGAATCCTGTGTCATAATGTTTTCTACATATTTTCATCATGAACTATGAAGAGCAACAAAAACCCAAACATAAAAAAGTTATATCTTTTTTAACTTGAAGTCTGGCCATGAGCTCAGATGCATGCCTAAAACATAACAGATTGTACATATACCACTGATATGCCCTACACAAGATCATGTCAGCTGAAACATGTACTGATCAAACCACAGAACATCAGCAAATAATCCAGCACCTGTTATCTGAAACTGATCACTGAGGACCTCTCTCACCAAACCTTTCAATATGTTTGGATTAATTTGGATTTGCATATAGAACAACAAATTAGGTAGAAAATATTCTAAAATTGAAATCAAATTCCTTGTGCACTTATGCAGTGCACAGACACACACACACTGCTTAAAACTACCATGTTACACATCAAAATGTTGCCATTGGTACTTTTTATGTCAATTACACAACTTTTGAGGGGCAGGAAAGTAAACAATCTTGCCCCCTAATCTCTGTGAGTGTTAGGCTGGGTTAATCCAAACCATCTACTGTGTGTGGGACAGTGTAGTGACAGAGGGAAGTGTAGAAGGGATAGTGGACAGGGTGGAGAGTCTGGATTGTCTTGAGCATGGTGTAGACAAGCTAACATCAGGGGTAGCCAGTGAAGCTCAATGTACAGAGGAGTGTTGTGGGAGTTTTTAGGCTGTGCCAGGTAGCACCATGGTGAAAAATCCCTGCAAATGATGGAATGTTTCTATGGACTAAAGCAATTGTCTGACTTATATTAGGAGCTGAAGTAAAGAAACACTAACCATATTCCTTGACAGGTTTTGCCTAAGGGTTCCCTTACTTCGTCTTGCCACTCAAGTGAGTGACTAGTAAACTGTCATTTGTTTGTATGGGCATGCACAACTGTGCTTGTGTGTAAATACTGCCTCTAGGCGGCACTCTATAATAGACTCTCAATTTATCTTTGTGTATCTGTCATCCTTTCTTGCATGCACACATGAACACACACAACCCTATCAACAGTCACAGAGAATTCCTTCTTCCTCGCACCAGCTCTTAGTTACCATGGAAACCAATAAAAGAGAGGTTTGAGATGGGAGGTGTTTATGTGTGTATGTGTGACAGAGTGAAAGCAAGAGGGGATGAGAGAGCTAGAGGAAAATGGTGAAAGGAAATATAGAGTAAATCAGACACAGACAGAGAAGGTGGGAGGAAGGTAAAATGACCGTGGGAGGCAGTAGTTATGTAGAAATGGAAAGAGCAAGATTAGAACGAGGGCTGTGTGAGAAGGGATTAAAGAGAGGAAGACAGAAAGAGAGGGGATGGAGTGTAAGTGGAGATGTATTATTTAAACAGGTCTCACTCTGTCTAATGAGTTTGGTCTAAAAGCCCCAGGAGCTGCCCAAAGATAGACAGACAGAAAGGCCAAGAAACTTCTTAACTATGCGGTGAGAAAATTCAATGTGCAAGAGGAGTCGGGGGAGTAAGAGCGCAAGCTTACTGGATAGGACAGAATACTTAAAACATTTTTTTTTTTTACTATTTTGACTTTTTGACCTGTCTCGTAGTGTAGGTGAGGACAAACATAGCACACACAACCATGTTTATGTACATCTGACAGAAAAGGACCAAACTTATCACCAACTTTAAGCAGAAAAAAGGACGATCAAGTTTATTACCGTTAAGATTTCCCCAAGTTAGGATTATTTGAAGCTGCTGTTGCATATAGTTACTACAATGTTGAGAAGGAATGAACTCTAATAACATTCTTTGACTGCTCAACTTGTCTGTTATATTACAAAACTTGCACAATATATTTTCTTTTCACGATCACCTTAGGAATCTTAGCAATGTATCTATTACAAAGCCAGCTTCTTTAGTTTGCTCTGTTACTGGCTCCAATACTGCTACCTCAACCAATGGCTGAAAAGCAAATTGCACTCAATACCACAGACTTTCAAAGAACTAAACAATCCAAACTTCCTAAGTTTTGAACCGGGAGACCGGTCTGCTGTCCAAATAAACATCCAAATATTGCTCCTGTGCAACTGACCACCTTCTCTCACTTTCTCCTCTCACAAACTGTGGCCTCTTTGTGAGGTGGTCAGTAATTCCGACACACAACAGTATTTTCTGGGGCTCCTGGCATGAGAGTGCAAGTTGAACTGTATTAAAAATGTTGGTGAGGAGGAATGAGTGACATTATGGAGCTGTCACAGGGAAACTGCAGGTGGGTTCATTGGGGGTGTGAGTTTTCCCATCTGTGGGAGGAATTATAAGGAGCAAGCTGTGTGTTATTTTGAACTGGACCTACTGTGTTTGTGTTCTCGGTCCAGCCTACCTGATGAAAAAGGTGAAAGAGTGTGATCCTCTTTTACCTTGAATCTTGCGGTAACTCACGTGCTTTTGAAGATTGATTTCTAGCCGAGTTTTCTTTTTGCTCACCTCTTTGCTCTCTCTTCTCTTCTTTTTTTAGTCATTTTGCAGTTTGCCACATGACAAGGGACTATTGCATTAAGATGCTGCCTCTAACCTGTCAACTACTGAGATGATTACGTCATAGATAGTTTTGGCAGATACACTGCTACTTGAACAACACAGGTCCAGAGCTACACCATCCATGTACAATCACTGAAATTCTTCCATCTTTGCTATTGCCCCTACTCATGATGCCTCTGTCAGTCTAAACCATCTGAAAGTTGCATGGAGAAGCACTGGAGTTTAGTGTATGCACCAAACTCCTTTCACAAAATACCTTTAGTTTCATCATGAGCACACAAAACCTGCCCATTTTATTTTCATAGCAGCCTTACATTCTTGATCAGGACTGAGTAGTGCTTCTCGACCAATTCCTCTCCCTTGCTCTGGCTTGACAACAACAGCCTCCAGCTTTTTTTCTTCCTCTAGTGAGGGATTTGGGGTCTTTTTTTCAAGGTTTATTTGGCATTTGGAAAGCTTGATTTGCTGCTACCATCTGTAAACACCTTTTCTGTTGGCATGGTAACTCGTTATGACAGATTTCCAAAGTTTCAGGAGAATGAAGGAAATCCATTTATACATCACAGCTTCTGAACTAACACAAAATACTTTCTCAAAAAGCTTTTCTATGTTGCAAGAAATACGCAGAGTTCCTGCAGTTTGCAATTGCTGGGATGTTTCCCACCAGAACACCAAACAAAAAAACTATAATAAAAAATAAGCCGACAGTAATCATCCATGATTGGCACATTAGTCTTCTACACAGTTTAAATCACTGTTCATTAATAATAAGGGTAAGAATAAGAACATGTATGCACCATTTTAACATATAACATTGTGTTCCATTACCAAAGTGATATTCTATGTTCCCAAATTAATTAGCCTTTCATGCTCTACAGACACGTATTTCTGTTAGTTTTAGCTTTCAAAGATTTTCTTGAGAAAATGTTGCTCTCATTTTGATACTCATGACTTCTAAGCCAAGTCATTTCTTGGTTAGGTCTTTTCTAAACATAGGACTCTGCAGCACAAACTTAAGGATGCAGAGAAAGCACGAAGTGACAGTTTTTTTCCAAACTACATAGCTTTTGGGAAGAAGCAATTCAAGCTATATCTTGTTTATGTAACCATGTCAAAATGAGGTTGTTGGACAGTTAAAAGGACAGCTAATCACCCATGTGCCTAATCAGGAGCACTTTTTTTGTAGCAGTAGGAGTTATATCAGATCTCTGAAATCTTGAAATTGTGTGAGGGTTCTGTAACACACCATACTATGTCCCCTGAAAATTATTTTTTTTTTAACAATTCTTTAAAAAAAAATGGAATGTTAAAAGTCTAACATTTTTGAAAAGGTGGGGAGCATATTATTGATTATGGTAGTCTAAAAAAAACTGAACAAAGAACTGTATTTCAGAACTTTCCAAGACTTAGGTTGGTTAATACTCCCTGGTAACTGTAAAACACTTAAATGTCATAAGTGGCCGTATTATCTAGAATTAAAGAGAAGATGAGTTCAAAAAGACTCGACAAGCTCTTTTTTCTTGTCATCTTTCATCCACTGTTCAAAAACACTAAAATGATGGTCCAAGTGCAATTATCCCATCTTTCTTCTCTCCCAACCCCTACTCCCTTCCCTGCCTCTTAGACATTATTAAACAGAGATTTCACAAAAGCATTTTCAAGGTGTTAGAAGGTATGAATAAAAAAAATGTCATAAGTATGAAATGTTCGTGTGTATGTGGTGTATATGTCTGTGTGTGCTTGTGCAAGTTGATTTTTTTAAACATTTGGCCACGTACCTCGATGTGTGATATTCTTTAAGTTAATAACTATATTACCTTAAGTCACATCTCTGCCTCTTTAAAAATGACACACGCATAAAAGTGAATCTAAATTCTGAATTCTACTTTGACAGGTGTCACTTTATTGCCTTTCTGAGCTGCCAATCAAATAGACATCTTAGACTCAAACACTTGGCGACCTCTGAATACACAGTTGTTGGTCTCACTTTTATGCAGGCTTGAGAAAAGAAATGAGTCACTGTAAATTGGTGTTGCACTGTTACGCCTAAGTGGAGTTGCTTGGCAAAGCCATAAGTATGGAGAGTTAGCTGTATTGTAACAGGTCTGGGTGTCAGTCTAGGTAATTTAGCACTGCTGAAAACTGCAATTATGAAGGCAGACAGGATACGTGGGGGGCAAATGAATTAACAAGGTTCACATTTTTAATCAAACTGAGTACACTGCATTTAAATTGTAAAAGATAGCATTTAATCATTTGGTAATGAGGTTTAGTGTGATTATTTATTACACGTGCGACAATCAATCACAACACCACGCAAAAGAAAAGCATGTGAAATTGTCCATTCTGGCTCACTTTGGATATTAAAAAAACAACCATGATCTTTTTATATATATACTGTATATGTAATGTATTTTTTTCTCTCTCCTACCTTTGCATGATGGCAGTGCCTTGTCCCACACTGGCTTCCCATCTTGCCCCATAACACAAGTGATGGTATCATCCCCTAATATTGTGTAACCGTGGTGACAGCTGTAGGACACCTGTGATCCCAGTTTGTAGTCATACCCTGTCCGGCTGGCGTTCATTACGTTACCCGGGTCAAAACAGGCTTCTCTTGGTTTTTCTGTGAAAAACAGAGAGAGGGTCATCTTTTAACAATTCGATTATATTTCCTGTGTGAGATGTTGCACCACAGCTCCCTAAGCGTTGGAGGAGAAGCACTGTAATAATTATGGTAAAATGTGCATTCATTTGTACTGTATGGCAAATACTGTATGTAGCAATGGTAAAAACATCTTGAACTTTCAATTTCTTGTCAGTTTTGTCACAGAGAACAGAATAGAAATTTGGCTTATTTGTAATAATTCTGTGTCAAACTGTAGTAATATTTGACTGACTTCCAAAATGGGACTGTATTAACTTTATATGTAGTTAGTTATGCTGCCTCAGTATAAGACAGATAAACAAGAAAGAGCTCAAGCATAATCAATTAAAGACAAGAAGAGACTAATAGATTAAGTCAAATATGATCAAGTTCATTGTTTAGGAATGTGTATTGGAGCCAACTTTTTGTCTTTCTTTAATAATCCCATGAGAATATGAAGAAAAAAATGCAAGGAAAAGTAAAAGGTATTACATTTAAACAGGAAAAAAGATTAAATTTGTACTTCAGAAGGAGAGAAGATATATGTGAACTTGTGAATGGCTTCAAAAGTACAGAGGTGTGAGGTGTCAGGAGCCAGATATTTATCAGAAATATATCATGTGGGAAATACAGGGGAAAGTTTCACAGAGCTGATCTTGTCACTATTGAGCCAAACAACTGGGTTCAAGATTAACTGCAGCTGTTAAATCA